TAAGGATCAGACGTCCTCTACATCTTTTAGTGCCAGACACTATCAAATCTTAGAGGGATTCGTTACGTTTGGCGCCTTTTCATGCAACTGTTGCTTATTCTCGTGCAGTGTTCCTCCTTTATTCTTCTGTGTTGGACCACTATCTAGCAGGGTTATGGCTGATTTCGATATTAGCAATTCATTACGGAATCGAGTAGCAATGAGTATGAAATAACAACAGTAGAATATTTCAAAGCGTCAGTCCTGAAGGCGAAAGCAAAGTACGGGTAAATATTAGGTTGGAACGATTGAAATGTCGCTTCCGTTTGTGCCTTTGTTTCTCAGCTTAAACGCAATCTCTTAGGATGGGAGACCATTCATTCGAGAGAGCGATTCAGCACGCATATTGCGAAATCTTAGGCCACTGAGCGGATGTTCTTTGAGCCAAAACTTGCTTGAAGATGACTGATCAGAAATCGTCGTCTGAGAGCGTATATATTCAAGCAACGGAAAAACGGCCAACGAATCCCACTCATTGTGTGCGAAACATTGAGCAGTAACACTTAGTCTCTGATGCACTGTCACGCTATAGGGGGATCGGCCTTCGAGCTGAGGCTAATGGGATTGATCGGTGAAGAGATTTTGACCTCTAGCTCTTAGATGGCGGAGAAATAAAGAAAGCCAACGAATTGAGTCCTCGACAAACCGCACAAAACTTGCATGGAGATTCAGTTGTGTCAACAGAAAATTTAAAAGTTCCTACGTGCGACTGTTAGGCCTTTCAGGATAGAAAATGGGTTTGGCCTATTTTTGGAAGACTGACCGTGGTTCGAAACCAGACATCCACGGAAACAAAGTCATGTTTTTATATGGTGATATAGTATAGCAACGGTGTACCACGGAATGCTGATTGTGGGTTATACAGTTACAGCTGAACTCTGCGTATAACAACCTCCACCACGTGGGCCGAGCTCCGCGTCGTCAAAGGTAAAATTCGGCCAATGAAATATTATGGCACGATAATGCAAGACCACATGTCGCAAAATTTGCAACAAGAAATCGAGGAGTTGGGCTGGGACGCTCTGCCTCTCGCGCCATATAGCCCAGGTCTGGCGCCGTCCGACTATCACTGACCCAGGTCAGCGCAACACTCCTTAGCAGCAAACCAATTCGATAACCGCGACGACGTCAAAATTTGAGTGCCCAACTTCTTCGAGTCGAACCAGAAAGAGTTCTACGCGGTAGGCATCCATGCTTTGCGTAACGAAAGGTGATGAGCCTGTGACACAGGTGAAGGAGATGGTTCAGGTTGATGTGCTTCATTATTGTTTTTATAATGAAAATAATTGATGATCGAAAACGACATTTCAATCTGGCCAACCTAATAATAAACTCGAAGACTCGTCCAAATTTCAAATTCGTTTTGCGGCTTTCCAGATTTTAGGGATAATTTTGGATTCTCATATCAATATTAACATCATCAATAGAAAGTTAGCTGAACCAGGACTATTCAGCAAAAATTCGTGTGACCTTGCAAAATAACCTCTAGTCGTTTCTGGTGTGAGTCACGGAGGTGAACGTGAAGTAAGATGTGAATCAACTTGGGTTTTCAGAGCCATGGGATTTGGGACTGCACTTACTATAATTACAGTAACGGTCAAAAGTATTCGCCAAAGCGGTTTTTTGAACATTATTCTTTCTCACCTAACTAGTTTCCTCACAGTGTTGTCTTGTGTCTTCTAGTAGTTTCGAACCCTTGAGTTCTAAGGATTCAAGGCATGCGGAAGAAAATTCTTCAAAAAACTTCAAGACTTTTTCAAGAGGAAAAATTTAATGCTTGAAAAACCGTCTTGGCGAACACTTTTGACCGAACTGTATATTCTGAGAGCTCACTAGACCTGGTCGCAACCTTTCCGCTCCAAGAAGCGGTCCTACGGGTTAATTAATATTAGACATGGAGGCAGTATGTGTAGGTTTCCTGCAAATGGGTGGTCCCATGGGTTCTATTTTAAAAATGATCGTGATTAACCTTTGAAGTATAATTGGTTGAAACGTGAATGACTGCATAATCCAGTGTTCGCTTGCATTGCTGTCAGTCTACCGCTTACTGTCTTCACAATCATCTTCCCAGCTGGTTGATAGGAGCTCTGTGTTTCTGCTTGCTTCGTTTTGTGACTGTGCTGCCCTTCAGACTAGGGTATCCTAGTGGAGCTTTTTGTAGAACGCTTCGTGAGATGAGATTTTAGTGCCTGTGGGCACATAGCGTTAGAGGAGACAGGATGAATTTCCGATGAACAGAAACCTCACTTTTTTGGAGTAAATTTTAACATCGAAATTCCTCTCCGTTTCTTTTGATTGCTTTTGTTTCAGTGTTGTTGCAGGAGCCCGGTTTGACTGCGCACTTGAAAGCAGTTTTTTCAGCCGTGGTTGGTTCCAGTATTCAGAGTGATGTTTCATACTCTTAACCGGTTGCTTTTATTCTCGGCATTCCATAGGTTCCCTTAGAGGCTGCTTTAGTGGGTTAGGCGGTCTACCTTTGTAGTACTGTAGCACGCGCTGTTGGTATTGGCTTTACAAATTAACAGCGTGCGAATGAGTTCGAGAAGCACACAACTCGTGTCTCAGGTTCCCGAGTGGTTGTGCTAACTGTTTCGGACTTGAAGTGCTTGTGTTTCACCCCAGCCCTTCCTCAGTGGCTGTGTAGAGTTTTTAGTTTTGACTGAGTTGTGTTTCAGGGACCTGCAGCCCACATCCCTCTTGATCCGGCTTTCTCGGACCTGATTTCACTACGTGCAGTCAAGCTATCGCAGAATATCCATGCAGATGTTAAAACTCGTCAGTTAATTTGAATTTGGCATGATCTAACGATAAGCTTTTTTCATCCTGATCATAAATCATTTTAGATCCCATGGACGGTACACCGTCACTTTCCGAGAACAAGATTGCTTCTGTCTTCGAGGGAGGAAGCCCGATTTTCTCGTACACGGCAGAACGATTTACGAAGACCTATCCAAAGGTTTGCATTTTTGCTTGAGGATGGAGATTGATGCTTTTTATCGCATCTTCCTATTGCAAGTAGTGTAGATGACAGAAGACGCCTTGTTTGTCTTCTCGCAGAAATGCACGGTACTAGCGCATATTACATTGTACTTCTGTCATTGATCTCTGAAGGGTTTTCTCGCGATCTTTCCTACAGACCTACTTTTTTTCTCATCTGTGGCGCTCTGGTAGAGGAACTTTACGTGATTTATAGGACTTGGGGGATAGCTGTTTCAGGTAACGATCACCCAGTGGGTAGTGGTATGGGTATGGGATCGCGCTAAATGAATCGGCTCGCCCCATCCCTCTTGTACGTACTTATCGAAACGATGGTAATAAATTCCTTTTGCATATTATCTCGTTCTTCGATGCACCACAAAATCGACCTCCATCTAGAGCCATGGCATTTGAATGCGTATTTAGCTTGAACAATGTCTTGCGAGAACAGAGCGAAACGGTGTGACGGGAGGGATGGGCGGGTGGAGGGGATTGATTTGTGCATCAGGACCAACTAGGGCACAAGTTAGTGTTCGATAACTATTTCAGAAATTCTGGTAAACTTTTTAAGGTCAATTCTGATAAGGATACTGACGCTAGAAAGTTGTTATTAAGGCTAGCTACTTTCGGGACAATTTCCACATTTTTACATAGAATTGGAATACATAGCGCACGCAACTATCAAGTTCCTGTCCAGAATAATGTGAAAGCCTTTACCCTTTCCGTCACACGCTGTCTGTCATTCACACACAGTTTATTCTGAGAGACCTAGTGAGGAATTCCAGGGATTGCGTAGGAAGTCGCTAGTCTGTCATTCACACACAGTTTATTCTGAGAGACCTGTGAGGAATTCCAGGGATTGCGACAGGATTCATCGAACATGCATCCGATGATCTCATGGATATGTGGTGTGCAAAGTGTTGCGATGAACATGCAAACGGCTGGAGAAGTTCGTGACTTCTATATTATTTTAATTCCAAATTCATGCTCCTCACTTGCATTCATATATTTGTCGCTTCAGGAGCTTGACCTCAACACAGGTTTGTTCCGAGTAAACGGCAATTGTGGCTACGTGCTGAAACCTGAGATGCTGTTAAAAGGAATCGGTGAGTGCAATTCACCTTTCATTTCCCTGAGTCTGTCAACTCCATGCTGTTTTTAGATCCTCGAAGTGTCTTCAAACCAAAAGTAAAACTTGGGATCGGAATCATCAGTGCCCAGTACCTACCCAAGTTTGCTCCTGGAAAGGATATTGTCGATCCCTATGTAACTGTTCAAATATTCGGAGCACCAAGAGATGAGCTGAAGTGGAAAACATCGGTCATAAGGAATAATGGTAAGCTTGATCCAAAGTTCTTCCAAAGACCCAGCTCAATGTATCGTTTTCTTGACGTCGTGCTTGTGCCTTGTTACAGGGTTCAATCCTGTTTGGAACCAGTCTTTCGACAAGGAACTCTATTGCCCTGAAATAGCCATGTTGCGCTTTTGTGTCAAGGATTTTGACACCACTTCAAGTAATGATTTCATTGGAGAATTCTCTATACCGCTGTCAAGTGTGCGAAGAGGTGAGTTTTTTTTTTCAATTAGGAAACGACTTACGCAAGGTAGTGTTTTGGAGGTGTCAGTTCACGTGCAGTGATGGCCAATTGCTCTTTGTTTTTCTGTGTTTTCTTTTAATTCCGTGTTTTCTTCCTTTTTGCAACGCGCAATCTTACTACAATAGTCTCGTAAAATACCAGCTTTAGCATGTATTGTTTACAAAAGGTCAGTGCGCATGATCGCTTAGCGCTTGTGATTACGAGCAGAACACGACATACACATCCTGGATCGTGAGAACTAAAGGCAACATCCTCAGACGGTTCATCACCTGTGGCCTAGTGGTGTTGACGATGCGCTAGCCTCCACTTCAAGATTATAAAAGTGTTGCACACACAACTTCACCTTGGAAACCGCGAAAGGAAGTTAAAGAACGCCCTTCTGCGTGGCTAGTGTCGGCCACCGATCGTAGCTCCTCATGCCAGCAGTGGAGATCGGCTGCTAAGACATTTGCGGCCAATTTAGGACCACAGGGACTATTTGAACTCGATCTACAGTCCACGCAAGTGCCTACGCAGCCAGGATTACTCGATCTCCATGGCTGACAAGAGGGGCTTACGATCGGTGGCTGACACGCCCACTTCGAAGGCTTTCAACTCCCTTTCGCCACTTTCCAAGGTGAGTTTTTTTATTCAGTCACACTTCGTATATTCTTGACTGGGACTAGTGCATCGTTCAACACCATTTATGTTCGACGGTAAGAATCCTGGTGGGACGTCGCTTGAAGCCAACCCAGGTTGGTTCATTCGAGCTGGACAAATATGGTAGCCTCATCGCGTCAATGCGGTTGCGCTCGAAAAAACTCGTCCAGACACGTCCTCCCTACGTATCATTATCAATAGCTGTTCCCCACCAATTTGAAGCAGGGTTTTTGCATTAATTTTCCCATCATTGAAGGTGCACTGAAAAATATTTGTTTAATTTGAAGTCGAAGTTTTGCGAGCGTTATGAGTGCGCAGCCATGCAGCGGTAAAAATCCATGCTTCTGGATGGAGTGGTGGTCTAACCAGGAAGGTCTTTCAGGGTGTGCCAAGCTTTTTCAAAACGGTCTTTTGCATGATATAGGGGCACATGCGGGAACCACAGAACCATGGTTAATTTTTCCTGAACGGCCCTCTGAATACCAAAAAGGGGGTCCCTAGTTCGATTCCTCGTGGTGACAAATTTTTGCATTTCGAGTTGACGTTTCAAAATTCGCGCAAAATGGAGTTAGCATGAATAATTAGTACCATATTCATGATTAGGACCGTCAGTAACCCTTACAAATAGACTTTGATTGAAAAACTGGTGAAAAAGGTGTGACACCACAGTGGGGCTGTTGTCACACTTTTTACCAATTTTTCAATCAAAGTCTATTTGTAAGGGTTACTGACGGTCCTAATCATGAATATGGTACTAATTATTCATGCTAACTCCATTTTGCGCGAATTTTGAAACGTCAACTCGAAATGCAAAAATTTGTCACCACGAGGAATCGAACTAGGGACCCCTTTTCTGGTATTCAGAGGGCCGTTCAGGAAAAATTAACCATGGTTCTGTGGTTCCCGCATGTGCCCCTATATCATGCAAAAGACCGTTTTCAAAAAGCTTGGCACGCCCTGAAAGACCTTCCTGGTAAGCTGGTCTTTTTGAAGTAACTGTAGGTGTGCAAGTGAACTGACAGCTCTCACTGCATCCGCAAAATCAGCAGGGGTTTTCACGAGTTTTCTGAAGCAAAGATGAAGTATAATTTTGTTTCAGGTTATTCGCAGATCCGATTGAACACCGGCTTTCAACATGTGCCCGATGATTCGGCCACTCTTTTTGTTAGAATTGCCATAGATACTTTATAATGCATGATTTCTTGGATGCCAAAGTCACTCAAGATTTTATAAAGATACATTCCACGATGGTCGAGATGTGGTTGTTGCGTTCGAAAATGGGGGGCTAGCTGCGAAGTAGGATTCCCTGCAATGAAAAAAGCAGAAGAACCGCCGAGAACACATATAACAAGGCACTTCTATAGTTGATTCTCGGCGGTTTACGATAGAGATCATGGCGAGAGTAAAGAGTTACTAAGCATATACCCGCCAATCGCATTCCAGTTTCGGAGCGGAAACAGCTTCGATTTGCTAGCACGCTCCAATGAATTAGACCCCTACCGCTTTTGTTTCTCAGCTTGCAACGAAATCGACCGCGATTGCAGACCTGTCCGCCGTATTCACGAACGGAATCCCGGATATCGCGGAATGTACCTTTAGATTGATTTGCTTAGCAAAAATTCACGTACATACATTATTGATGCATATTTGGCGTAGGTTCACTTTTGTTTGGGTTTTATGCTTTTTCCCGATGCTATTTCATATCCACGAGTATGTTGAGCGATAGCGGGAAGTCAAATCGCTTTGATCATTGATAAAAAGTTGTTCTGTGATGCTTTGCCTCTTTTGAGCAATAATTGTTAATTGAAGTGAATTTTGGTTGTCACTCAGCTGAGGGAGGGGAGGCGGGAAGGAGGTGGAGTCCGTCGTCTGGTTCTCTTCACCGAAAATAGTGTAACGTTCACATTTCGCACTTTTCATAACATTTGGTGATCACCCCTTCTGCCATCCTTCGAAGTTGGCCAACGTCATTCTGGCTCACGTGTTTTTTTTTCGCTTTGTTGCCAGTGCAAGTGCTTGGGCTTCACACCAGCGAATATGTATTCCTGCTGTGGATCCAAGTCACCTCTGTTTGTTCGGCAGACCGGGCCTACAGGGCCAGAGCCTAAGTCTAACACAGCTGAAGTTCATGAGATGCGATTGTAGAGCATGACATTCCTAAACTGACTCCTATGTTTCATCGCATAGCTCAGGTGACCTGCCCTATCGAGAGAACTGAACATCAGCCCACTGTGTGGGTTGAAAGCAGGGTCAAGCGTCCGTTCGCCGTATTTCAACGAGGGGTTTGCATTTGTGATTTTGGGAAAGGGGAAGGAGGTTATAGACTTGGAACGGAGCTTAAAGGAATCTTCCACGGAAAATGGTTGACATTTTTGAGTAACTTGTGTAAGTTTATGGAAGGGTGGGCTGTATAATGTATGCTAAATAAATACTAAAAAGTATCCCCACGGATCTCTTTCACTGAGGGTCCTCTCTCACTGAAAGATCTCGAGCCGGTTGGTGGCGAGGCTACGTGGCGCGACCCCAGGTGGCGGATAGGGGGTAAATCGCGGACCAAAAGCCACCATGTACTTGCCCTGAGACGCAGGTGGATTCAGGGGATGGACTCCCTGTTTCTGTAGTGCTGTGTTGATTCATACCAGCTGTCTCCACTCAGGCGCATCCATGCATGCTTGCGTGTGTGGTGCGCTCTGTGTGTGTGCGGTTGGTATCCTGCATGTCGGCACAGCCAAAAGCTTGCATTCAAGTGACTGGGAAGTACATGGGAGGCGATTCGGGGCCGCCTCCAAAAATAAGCCCCTTGTTCCGCTCCAGGATAGCGTGGCTAACTACCTGGAGGTCTATCCTAGCCCACACGACAGAGCCTGGCAAGCTACTCGTGTGCCTTCAATATGCCGAAAACAGCAATATGGATGGGCCTCATTCCCCTGAACCTGAGGGAGCCCCCAATACGGCAGCGTTGGGTAGGACCGCTCGGGAGAGGCTGCTAGAATCTCAGGGCCCGGATAGGCTGCCTAAACGAAGAAGGACTAAGATGGCGATCTGTACTTTCAACGCACGAACGCTTGCATCCGAAGCTCACATCGAAGATCTGATGATGCAGGCCAGGAAGATCAAGTACGACGTCATCGGACTGACCGAGACGAGAAGGCACCGCCCGCTACACGCCGTTTTCGATACTGGAGAAGAACTGTTCCTTGGAACATGCGACAGCAGAGGCGTTGGCGGTGTGGGTGTCCTCGTCAACACGCACTTGGCCATAAACATCGATTCGTACGAAAGCCTTACGACCCGAATCGGACGTTTGAGATTGAGAAGATGTGGTTCAACTCCTGCTTTGACAATCTTCGTCGCCTACGCACCAACATCCAGCTACGACGGAGAAGAACACGAAGCATTCTATATGGAATTGGAGAAGTTCTACAGGGAAGATCATACCTTCTTCAAGGTCATCGTCGGCGACTTCAACGCTAAGATTGGCCCAAGAAGAACGGCTGAAGAACTTCACATCGGTACTCACGGAATGGAATGGAATGAGCAGGGTGAGAGACTGTCGGAGTTTATCATGTCGACCAACACCATCCATGGTAACTCACAGTTCCAAAAGCCCCTCACCTTCGTTGGACTTGGGAGTCACCTGATGGACAGTTCCATAACGAGATAGACCACATCATCTTCAATCGAAGGTTTTGCCTGACCGACGTCGCTGTTGTTCCGAAGTTCTACACGGGATCGGACCATCGTCTCCTCCGCGCAAAGTTCCACTTTTCGATGCGTGTTGAGAGAGCCTCGAAGTTCAGGAAGCGAAGCCCCAGGACAGTCATCAACTGGGACCACTTCGCTTCCCTCGTCAGCTTATGGGAGGATTCCGTCATCGAAAACATCGACGAGGAGTACTATCGGCTCGTTGAACATCTTCACGATTGTGGCAAGAAGGCAGAGAGTTTGAAAGTCACCAAGGGACGTCTGTCTCCGGAAACTCTCGAACTGATACGCCAGCGTGGAGCCGCACGAGCTGCAGGCAATCACCGACTCACGTCCGAGCTTGCGAAGCTATGCAGAGAGGCGATAAAGGAAGATCTCT